TGTTCCACTCTTTCTCTTTCCTCTTTCTCTCTCTGTCTGTCTCTCTCTCACACACACACACTGTCTCCGTCTCTCTCTACCTCTCTCTTTTTCTTTCTGTCTTTCTTTCTCTCTCTCTCTCTCTCTCTCTCTCTCTCTCACACACACACACACACACACACACACACACACACACACACACACACACAGGTATCTGCAGAATGAAAATTTCAGATAGCAGGAATTATTTTGTGAGTTTGTCACAGAATCAATCAAGGTGCACTTAGGTTTTTCAGTGTCAGAAGGAATGTACCATTGTTTTACAGTGGCAGAACCATTTTCAGGGAAACAGCAACTTAGTAAAGAATCCTTGCAGTTTGAAAGTCCTTCTGGCTAACAGATGCTTGCCCCTAAAGACCTACTTCCTTCTCAGAAGTGGTGGGAGTGACAATCTTCCCAGAGTGTAGTATCAAATACCATTTATAGGGGTGAGATGAGGTACCACCTGAGTCAAGTTCCCAAAGTCTGGGTATGTGGGAGGCACACAGAATTGCTTGAGTAAATGTTGGTATGTGTGTGGGTGCATGTCTGTGTGTGAATGCATTTGTAAAGTCCAATTTTAAGAAGCAGGTATCAAAAACTTTCCTTTGTGGGAAAGGTAGATTTAGAAGCTGATTTACTCCCTAGCAACTACTTTGTAATACAGACTATATACAACAGCAAGCAGGGAGTTTGAACATTTTTGTTGATCTGTAATGTATGTAAGTATGAATATTTCTGCATTGGAGACAATCACTTTCTAGCCATAAGTGCACAAGAATGAATATTAATCATACACACATATGTGCCTGTGAAAAAAGAAAGCAGCAGGCACATGGAAACATATCTACTCCCTAAGATGACCTCGAAAGAGTTATGTGTGTGTGGGCTTTCCTCCTTTACATTACTCACTTGTCAAAGAAGGCATAGGAGTGATCCCACCACCAGTTGCAGAAACATTGAAAACAGTGTGGTTTGCTTTCCTACACATGCACAAGTATTTGCGATAGGCCTTTGCACTCCACAGCATCCTGTCTACACAGGCCTGATGGTGTTTTAATAGCAGAAGGAAGGGGCTCAAGTCTCCAGTTCCTAGAACACTGTAAGATAGGTAATGGACAAAGCAGGTCAAGGGCATTCTGTACAGGGTCGAGACTTGACACACAGGACACTTGCTTCTAACATTCAGCTCATGCACAGTGACTCAATGCATAGTTCATGTACCAAAAAAGAGGGAGGTGGGAAAAACACACATCATAGGCAATACAATCATTTCTAATTAAGAATACTAAGAGATATAAAGGACCCATCCTGATTTCCAAGACCACTTCCTCCTCTTGCTCCAATGGAACACATCACAGATAACAAGAGCAAAAACTTTGTATCAAGTCTGATAGTGAAAATGAGGGTCAATAATCTCCTCCTATGAGACGCCATAGTCCCACTGAAAATAGAGGCCTCTGAGCTATCATAGACGTGTCACATTGAACCAAAACACTAGGTTGTTGCTTTTCTACAACTTCCTGAATCAGAAGATTAAAAACAGAATATGTGGTTACAGGCCATGATTCAAATCTCTAAGGTATCTCTAAGGTACAGGGTTGCCTGCCAGCTCTAGTGAATGGTGTTTCTCAGAACAACCTTCACCTGCAATATACATCAGTTCAATTGAATCGCACCAACATTGTCCCCTAGCTTAGGCCGTTCATCTTGAAAGGCAGCATTTTCCATTCCTCTAAGTACTTTTATGAAACTGGGAACACAGGAAGCAAAGGATTGCTAGGCATGAGCCTACAGGATTGCTAGGCATGAGCCTGCACACCTATCACCCCAATACATGGGGAGAGAGGCAGGAGGACTGTGAGTTCAAGGACAGTTTAGGAATGACATCTGCCTCAAAGAAAGAACAAAGAGAAAGGATCCTTGATTCTTTGTCTTTAAGCAAGTGTGACTTTTCTCATCCATATGCACACTTAAAAGTCAGGGTCAATGTAAAACTGCCTGTTTCCATTCATTCTGCAACTCTCCATTACAGAGAATAGGAAGATCTGATCCGGTCAATAGGATACCCATCTCGTGCTCTCTACAGTGGGGAAACGGACTGTGATGTGCTTAACTGTGATTCTGAGACCCACACAGTGAAAGAACGTGGCCATCTCTTATTTTCATCATTCCATGTAGGCACCAGGTTAGTACTGGGACATGGGACTTAGTGGTGGCAGCCATTGTTGCTGACCATAGACAAAATGTTGAAATGCCAACCTGTCCATGCAGCAATGTTTTGAATGTAGGACAAGAGGGATGTCTTTACTGTTTGGAAGTACAAAGGTCAGAACACACAGGAAGATGACAGTAAATCCCACATTTCAAAGCTGTTTCTCCTAAAGCAGCTGAGGACATCTGACGAGGTCACACAGAGCCCTATACTATACCTCAAGTATCTCACATTTTGTGTACAATGGCAACAAATATCCATGTGGCAAAAATAACTCATGTCTTCACACCATACAGCTTCAGACTTCAAGGAGGGAAAATCACCTCCCCAAAGCTGCCAAGTGAAACAGAATAGTCTCTACTCCTGTAGCAAGAACCTAAATTCTATGTACCCTAACTTTTATTTTACAAGTTGAAATTACCTAGAATCTTCAATAACCCCTTTCCCTTAGAAAGGCTGACTTCACATATTATGATGTACAATGTACTGTATGCAGCTTTAAATGATATGGGCATTTGACCCATGGGTAGCAGATACTAAAGATTAATTGATGCAAAGTCCTCATTGACACAGCAAGTGTCAGCCACAGAAAGTCACGGCATTTCTGGAGACCTGGCTACCAGTGTCCACACAACTAAACCATGTTGCCATTGGAAGTAAAACTGTCCCTCCACATCATCTTTAATGAAGAGGACATTTAGTTTGATGGGGTTATATTGGAGTGATTCAAGGAATCAGTCTAACATGGCCTAGATAAGAGCATTGTGCAAGCAAAAGTGAATGTTGAATGAGACTTGACTACGTCATACCCCCTCCCCCTCCTCTCTCTCTCTCTTTCTCTCTCTCTCTCTCTCTCTCTCTCTCTCTCTCTCTCTCTCACACACACACACACACACACACACACACAGGGGACACGGGGTTGGGGGTGGGGGCGAGGGTAGAGGGTTGAGATAGGTCCCAAAGACAGCCTACTTTTCAGATGAAGACATTTTGTATTTTCTATTATGATCACCTGGAATTTCAGTTGGAGCATTTAAATTGCTGATTACCATCAAGTTTTACTTGTTTGAGCCATAGACATAACAGAATGTGACTGTTACTTTTCACAGTGTACATGCAGCTTTTGTATGGGACATTCACAGCACTTGAATATGGAGAGCAATTGTTTTGGGAAGTAGGCTTCCTGTGTCTCTTCGGGCTCCCTCTTAATCCTACTGAACAATGGTTTTTTTTTTTTTGGTTTTGGTTTTAGTTTTGTTAACCCTGGACTTTGAGACTGACTTGGGATTCAGCCTCTTCTAGGACCTATTGATCTACCCCTTCAGGCCTTAGGTAACTCCCACATCAATGAGGGGGATGAAAGGCCAGACAGGGCCATGGCTGCTGTTCCATCCTTCTCAGCCTAGCAAGCAACAGCCTTTCAGCAGAAAGTCTTTGCTTTGAGTAGACTCCTGGGGATGTTTGGTTGGCATAGAAATGTAATCTTGGGAAAAGGTTGTATAAATATTTCTCCAGAAGCCCTGGTTGCAATGTCGAAAGAGGTTTGATGTTATCCTCCCTGTCTTCTGAGAGAGCCCCTCTCTCCTGACTTACATGTTACGAGAAGGCTGACTAGAGGCTAAATCATTGTATCTAGGTAAAAAGGAGGGGAAATCTTAGATGGAAGTAAGAATCCCGGAAAAACCTGAGACATTTCATATGAAGACTTTTTTTTTTAATTTCAAAAATATGATCACCTGGAATTTCAGATGATCATACTTGCATGTTATGAGACTTATATGTTATGAGAAGATTTGCATGTTATACAAAGACTTACATGTTATGAGAAGGCTGACTAGAGGCTAAATCATTGTATCTAGGTATAAGGGAGAAGAAATTTTAGATGGAGGTCAGAATCCTGGAAAAGCCTGAAAGTGTAGTATGAGTCCCAAAAAGTGTGGATTCCAGTTGATAATGCTGTCCCCACAGTCCTGGTCTGGGCAGGCAGAGGCTGCAATCTCCCTTTGGGATGGTAGCCTGAGGCCATGAGATAACTGCAGGAGAACAGGCCCAGGCTGGGAGACTAAACCGCCTTAGGTTTCAATAGGGAAGGTATTTTCCAGAATCTGAGGCAATGTAGCAAATAGTGAGACAGACATTTTCCTGATTCCAATGTTTCCTTTATCAGCATACATCTAAGATACTTGTTGCACCACTGTGTGTGGAAATACAATGGAGATAACTTGGTAAAATATTTCTGGGTTCAACTCTGCAGGAAAGCTCTCTGAATACAAACAGTCAGAGCACCCTGTTCAGGGGGTTCCTTACACATTCACCCACAGCAGTGTTTTAAGTGTGCTGACGCCAGGCGATGTGCTATCTACTGGTTTTAACCTAAACACCGAATAGTAGGGTTGCAAATGTTAAGAATGACAGGAAGAACGTATATGCTGCCGCTCTGTGTAAACACGTTAGGATTATTCTGTTTTTGACCGATGAACTAAGGCTCAAAGTGTTTATGGTTTTTCCCCGTAGAAGCAGCAAGTTACTGGGCTGAGGTCTATTTCAGCCTGAATCATGTGCTTATTTTTTTTTTCCTCTCCCCGACTCTCAGGAATAATAACCTCTCCACTTTACTCTTGAGATCTGAATCTTAAAGGTTCCGGAAGGAATACAGTAGAATTTGCCATCTTGGTAAATCTCTAACCCCACCTTGGTTAGTTTTTGGTTGTTGATGATGATGTTTTAGTTTCTTTTTTTTTTTTTTTTTTTTTTTTCCCTGTAGAGATTGCCATAGCCAGGTAAAGCCTGAGCTTTTCCAAGATCTTTTTCTAAAATCTGTGGCTGTTGTTACCTCTGGTAGAATCCCTTTCAGGAAGGGGTTTTTCTGCCTAGGGGGACAGCGGTGCTATTCATCACTGCTGGAGGCCTGAATCCGGGGCTGGGGGCCCATACGTGGAGATGGGAGGGGCCAGGGGGCGGCCCCCTTGTGACCAGCCCTGAGGAGAGGTCAGAGAGAAGACTGGCAGAGGAGCGCCTGGACAGCAGCAGCAGCTGACTTTCTAGATCAAGCGCCTTGGGGCCCCAGGTAACAACCCAGACCTTTTTACAAATCGGCGGGCTGGGGAAGCTGCCGGGCCGGGATCGGGGGAGGGAGCAGGCACTTTGGGGGTCGCGCACTGTGGATGGGGGTGGTCATGCGTGAAGGGAGTCTGAATTCTAGGGGAAACCCTAGGAAATGAGAGGACAGGAGCAAGAAATGGGGTGTGAGGGCACAGGCACGAAAGAGCAAGAGAGGGCGCTAGAGCGTGGCATACAGCAAGTGCGCTTAGGAGTAGAGGCTGAAGCATAGGTAAGAAAGGAGCCAGGGGTTACTTTCTTCTACTGAGTCAGTTTTTCCAAAGATAACCTCCTTTCAGCCATATTTAACATACATTGTTGACTCAAGGGTTTTAAGGATGCAAGGAAAGGACGTAGAGAAAGGTGCATCAAAGCGAGGCTGCACAGAGCGCCGAAAAAGACAGTGGGTTGTGCCTTTTATAAAGAGTTGCCATCCTTTTCACCCTAAAGCTCAGGCCAGTCCCCCTTTCCCCTCCCCCGTACCCGCAGTTCTGGCGGCCTTTGGAGCAGGTAGCCGCGGGCTCGGAACGCCACGCGAACCCCGGTGCAGGGGCGGAGCCGCGGCCGCGCGCGGGGCTCGCGGCAGGGGGAGGGGCTGAGGCTAACGGCGCCGCGGCCATGACGCTGGGCTGGCCGTCCACACGAGTTCCTGTCTCCCTCCACCCACAGTCAGAGCTCATTTCCAGACGCGTTTCTTCCCAGGCTTGGGAGTGAGCCGATGGCCCACGTTCGAGAGGCGTCCCGGTCCTCCCGCTCCGTCGCCAGTTCGGGAGGCGGTCGAGGAGCCTGTTTGGAGCAGGCGGCTGAGAAAGCAGCGAGAATGGACCAGACGATGCGGGGTACACAGGGAGCCCAGGAGATGAAGCCGGAGCCGTGGCCGGAGCCCAAGCCCACATCGGAGAACTTAACAAGGAGGGGCAGTGGCAGCGAGGATAAGGTGCTCCCTTCCAGCCAGGCTGCTTGTCACTCTAACGCCAGCTCGGTTTGCCCGCGCCGCAAGCCCCGCCCTCGGCCCCAGCCCAGGTCCCGCTCCAGGGGAGGGCGTGGGCTCAAGGCCCCACCCCCGCCTCCCGCCAAACCTCCGCCTCCCCCGCCAGCGCCGCCACCTCCACCCCCGCCCCCGCTGCGGTCGGTGGCCTGGCGTAAATCCAGGCGTAGATCCAGGCCTCTACACAGACCCCAAACACGAAAAAGCTGTTCTAGTGACCAAGGCTACTCTGGGGATCCAGATGTCGCAGAAAACACGTTACTGGAGGTTGGGTCTGATAAGGGTCCCACAGGCTGCCCCCACGTAGAAAGCTTTAAAGTAGCTAAAAACTGGCGGAAGAACCTGCGAATGATCTACCAGCGTTTCATTTGGAGTGGGACACCGGAAACTAGGAAGCGTAAGGCAAAGTCCTGCATCTGTCATGTATGTAATACCCATAAGAACAGACTCCACTCTTGTCTCTCCTGTGTGTATTTTGGATGCTTTACTGAAAAGCATATCCATATACATGCAGAAACAAAACAGCATCATTTAGCAGTTGACCTCTATCATGGAGTTATATATTGCTTTATGTGTAAGGATTATGTATATGACAAAGATATAGAACAGATTGCCAAAGAAACAAAAGAGAAAATTCTGGGACTAATAACCTCCACTGCAGTAGATGCTTCTTATCAGCAGTGTACATTGGAGGCTGAAGAAAATCAGTCTACTTGTGAGTCAAAAGAACAGGAGACCACCCTGGTAAAACCCAAGAAAAAGAGGAGGAAAAAGACTGTGTATTATACTGTAGGCCTCCGAGGGCTAATCAATCTTGGCAACACTTGCTTTATGAATTGTATTGTCCAGGCACTTACCCATATTCCGCTGTTGAAAGATTTTTTCCTTTCTGACAAACACAAATGTACAATGACAAGCCCCAGTTTGTGTTTGGTCTGTGAAATGAGTTCCCTTTTTCAAGCGATGTACTCCGGGAACCAAAGTCCTCATATTCCCTATAAATTACTGCATCTGATATGGATTCATGCAGAACACCTAGCCGGGTACAGACAGCAGGATGCTCATGAGTTTCTTATTGCAATATTAGATGTGCTGCATAGACACAGCAGAGATGATAGCATCGAGCAAGAAGGGAACCCCAACTGCTGTAACTGCATCATAGACCAAATCTTTACAGGTGGCCTGCAGTCAGATTTGACATGTCAAGTCTGTCATGGTGTCTCTACCACTATAGACCCATGCTGGGACATCAGTTTGGATTTGCCTGGCTCTTACACCCCAGAGAGAGCTAGTAGCACAGGGAGTAGAGATGGCAATAAAGCAGGAGGCCCCTCACTCACAGATTGCCTACAGTGGTTTACAAGGCCAGAGGACCTGGGAAGCAGTGCCAAAATCAAATGCAGTCGATGCCAAAGCTACCAGGAATCTACCAAACAGCTCACAATGAAGAAATTGCCAATTGTAGCCTGCTTTCATCTGAAACGGTTTGAACATTTAGGCAAACAGAGACGCAAGATTAACACTTTTATCTCATTTCCTTTGGAGCTGGACATGACACCCTTTCTGGCTTCTACTAAAGAAAGCATCATGAAAGGCCAACCATTAACAGACTGTGTGCCCAGTGAGAATAAGTATTCTTTGTTTGCAGTGATTAACCACCACGGAACTTTGGAAAGTGGCCATTACACCAGCTTCATACGTCAACAAAAGGACCAGTGGTTCAGCTGTGATGATGCCATTGTCACCAAGGCTACAATGGAAGAGCTGCTCTATAGTGAAGGGTATTTACTGTTCTATCACAGGCAAGATATAGAGAAAGAATAATCTTACCCAGAAACGCTTTCCAGAAAAACAAAGAGCAAGGATCCTGAAGCGTTACACAAGCCTACCTGGAATGGACAATTGCAATGCCATCACAACAACAACAACAAGCACCTCTTAAAGAAACACAAAAATCTACCTGGAGTGAACAGTGACCATAACACCTATATTACAAATGACATTTTGGCATAAAGGAACTGTTTCAACCTGTTCCATAGGTCTATGGGAAGAAGACATTGAACTATCAGTGACCATTTAGCCTTAAGAATTTGGGGAAGGGGAGGAGAGGTCGAAAAGGGTCACAAAAAGCAAATTAAATGAATGCTCAAGGTGGAAGGAGGTGCAGATAAATTCAAATGACTTACTATGTGCTTTTTATTTCTTCTAAGATATTGTGTTAAGTGTGGGGGGTTATCTTTTAGGAAAGGGGTTTTAATTATGTAGTTCTAGTTATGAGTGCACAAATAGTCTGAAAAACAACCAAATATTTTAAAAGAAAAACTTTAAAGCTTTAAAGGAAAAATTGTTAAAAAATACTTTTGAAAGTTTTAAGAGAACATTTTAAATGTCAAATTTTTAAGTTAAGTATTTTAGAAAAAATATTTTTAAATGTTTTTAATTTAAAATTATTCCAAATTGTTAGTATGTGAAAATAGAGTATTTAGAAATTCTTACAATTTAAGACGAAATATGAAAATTTATATGGTAGTTATTGAAAGAAACACTTTAAAAATAGCAAAAGAATATCTTTTAAAAATTTAGTATTTAAGGTGAAAGTGCATAGATTCTAAAAGTTTAAAGGATAGAATTTATATATGCATTGGAAAACCAAAATTTACAGAATTATGCTTATAATAGTTTTAATTTTTCAAAATATAGAATGAAATTAAATTTTAAGTCAAAATCAGATAAAGTTGTTTAAAAGAACAAAATTTAAGGCAATTTTAGGAAACAAAAAATTGGTTTTAATGATTTCTAAAAGAAAAGTAAAATTTTAAAATATTAAGAGAGAACCTTAAATAAATTCCACTTCAGAGATTTCAGTATAATCATAGATTTTAAATTTTAAAAGAATATTCACAAATTGCCAACTGAGAAAAAAAAAAACATGTAAATAAGAACGTACTTGAAAGTTGAAAATTTTATTTTGTACTTAAGTATATTGAAATATAGATGGATATAAAAGTTATAAGTGAAAGAGAGAGTAATGATAAGACAAAAATGGTTTGTGAACATATGTATTTTTTTAGTTTTATGTCAATGCAGAGTTAACTATATTGGAAAAAAGTGATGACATCAAAATTTTTTCCCATTTAGAACTCATTATTCATATACATCCCTAGCTTCTGAAAGGATGCTTTTAGTAATTTTGTGGCTTAAAGAAATTAGATCCTAACTGTGAAGTTCTGGCTTTTGGTGTTTAAGCCCCATGGTCTGACTGAGAAAGTGGCAGGGAGACCCATGTCTGAGAAACTCCTACCCTCCCTGCTTTCAGTCTTTTGCCTCATGGGGAAACAGGATCTTTAATTTCTACAGTAGAACTTCGGCTTTGTGTTTTAACAGTCCTGCTAACTCCTATTCCTCTTCATGCTCATCTCATCCCCATTCCTGATTCCCTGAGTCCCTTGTTTGCCTAGCCTTACCTAGAACTATATAACCCTAGCCTGCAAGGATCCTTTCTTAATTACACACTTGGTGACTTCTTTCCAAGACCAACTCACAGATGACTTCTCTGGAGCCTTTCCTGGATCCCCCATGCAGGCATTAAGTAGATAATTGCCCCCATCTCTCCTATTGTGCCTCCAAAGTACTTTGTCTATACCTCGATGAATAGTACTTATTCAACTGTGATTCTACTGTAGCGTTGTGAATGTCTGCCTCTCTGCACCAGCTCCTAAGAGCAGAGGGACAAGCCTTATTCACTTTTGTGTTAATAAATATTTGTTGAATGCAAAAGTGAGTTTCCTTGTTTTCTGTTTACCCTGTTAGGAATATATTTTCACATACATGTAGCATGAATAATAAAAACCCAGAGACAGATATTGGGGTTCAAGCTGAAGATCAGAAAAGCAAAGCAGCAAAGCCACTAGAGAGTTCTTAACTGCAATGCTCTCCACCAGACCTCAGACTTTACTGAGAAAGCACTGAGCTCCTATCTTATATTCCTCTCTAGTGCTGCTTAAAGGCTTGTCATCCCAAGTACTGGGGTCAAAGGTGTGAGCTCCTTTTGTCTTTTAGACTGATTTACCCCTATGTAGCACAGAGTGGCTTTGAACTCTCAGAGATCCATCTGCCTCTTTCTCCAGAGTGCTGGGATTAAAGGTGTGGCCACTACTGCCTGTCTGCTATGGCAGGCACTAAGGTGTGTGTGTGTGTGTGTGGATAACTAGTGACTTAGTGTGAGTGTGTGGCTAACTAGTGGCTTAGCTCTTAACTGGGTGTGTGGCTAACTAGTGGCTTAGTGTGTGTGTGTGTGTGTGTGTGTGTGTGTAATTAGTGGCTTAGTGTGTGTGTGTGTGTGTGTGTGTGTGTGGATAACTAGTGACTTAGTGTGTGTGTGGATAACTAATGGCTTAGCTCTTAACTGGGTATGTGGCTAACTAGTGGCTTAGCTCTGCACTTTGATCTTCAGGAAAGCTTTGTTAGATTACACACATTGACTCATTCACCAAACCCTCATTAAATGCCCAGTGCTGTAATACAATATAATGAAGGTTGTATCTTCCCCCAGAGACAATATATGAAATGCTCCTTAGCTTTTGGGGAATAGCTTAAATAAGGTTATATTCACTTGGGGAATAGAAAAGAGCGTGGAGGGAGAACCAGGAATAATAGAGGGAAAACACGCCGTGGAAGATTGGATGGACAGTGGGGACCAGCAGCTGCAGGAGAAGCTGAGTTCTCTGGTATGTATATGACAACCACCCCATCACAGTTTCCCTTAGTTTCCTGGTGTCTGTAGTTTATACTATATTTAAGTACCCAATGAGGCTGTGTACCTCATCACTCTACCGCAGTGTTGTACATCACACTCTGCGTCATGACTGGGCAGCAGGAAAGTGACCTCTGGTGGCTATATTTGTCTGTTTAGCACTTTTGTTCTACTATTCTTTGTGGTGTAGATGAGGGTATGAATCACTTTGCCTGTCTCTCCCTGTGCATAGCCAGCCCATAATTGAACACAGACTGAGTGTTACCTTTCAGTCTTCCCACACCACTCATACAGGGGCAAAGTTGTTTGGTTCCTAGAAGTTGGGAAGCAAAGTAGAAACCAGCAGGGCCAGAAGCCCAGTATCTGCTTTAAGGGTGTGCCCACTACACCCCACATCCTAAAAGTTTCACAACCTCCCAATGACTACAGACTAATGGCCAATGACTTTAACATGCCTGGACTTTTGGGGACATTTAACCTCCAAACCATAGCAACCTGTTAGCAGTTATTACCTTAAGGTAATATGGCAACTAGTGAGAAGCCTAAAGTAGTTTCCAGCTTGCAGATATTTGGCCTGTGTCTTAGGCTGCTTGTGCTGTTGTAATAAAATATCTAAGCCTGAGCAATTTTAAAAATTGCTAGTACTGTGTTTTCACAGTACTAGAGGTTGGAAAATCCAAGAACAAGGTGTCATTAGGGTTGGTGTCTGGGTGAGGGCTATGTTTTTTACCCTGATGGCATCATGGTTACCTTTTCCAGAGATGAGAACATCCTGTTCTCAATTGGTGGACATGGCAAGAAAGCCAGTGAGGACCTAGCAGGGCCCCCACACAGCCTTTTTATAAGAGCACTAATTCATGCATGATGGCTGAGCCTGAGCATTTTGGCTTATTCTCCAAAGGGCAATATTCCATAATACTGATGAATTGATGATTACTTTTCTATGTATGAATTTTTGAGATTCAGACTATAGCAGTCCTCAAACTACATGGTGTCTGTGCAAGTGTCTAGAAAGGCCACGGCTAACAGCAGAAGTGGAAGGCTTACTGGTTTCAAATGAGAATTTTTAATTTCTGTGAACACAGACAAAGGTCTAGTTACAGAAGCATTGGGAAGGAGCCCAAAGCTATATCATGATCTCTTGAATTATACCTACTTGTTAATACTAGTTTGTTTACTCCAAGAACAGCAGTTCTCAACCTATGGATTATGACTTCTTTGGAGGCTGCACGGCCCTTTCACAGGGGGCCCCATATCAAATATCTTGCATATCATATATTTACATTATGATTCACAACAGTAGCAAAACTTCAACTATGAAGTAGCAGCAAAGATGATTTTATAGATGGGGGTCACCACAACATGAGGAACTGTGTTAAAGGGTTGCAGAATTAGAAAGGTTGAGAACTACTGCCCTAGTCTTCACCACAATTTAGGTTTTTTGTTTTGTTTTTTAAGAATGAATGACTTTGTGTCCTGGGATTTGGACCTTTGAACATGTGAGGAGTTTAGACCTTAGGTTCGGAACTTGCATCAGGAAGTGGAGGAGCACACATCCAAAGCAGAAAGATAAGTAGAGGGGGGAGTGTAGTTACTGCTAGGGGCCCAGGAGGATTCTGGAGAGGGGCAAGAAAGGAGAGAGAGAGAGAGAGAGAGAGAGAGAGAGAGAGAGAGAGAGAGAGGTAATAAAATTGTTTTGCAATTGATTATTGAGTGTGGGTAGATGGCAAAAGGTTTTGTGTAGGTCATTGGTGGCCTGGGAGGCAGTTCCTCTTTTCTGCCCTTGAAACTACTCTCTGTGTTTGATTTTACTTTATTAGCAGAAAATTTGAGAGATATAAAGACATCCCCATGCCCATGGTCTTGGAAGTCCCAATGGTGTCACCTCAATTGAAAATTACTCAGCTACTACCCATATATACTATTTTGAGTCAGTCATTAACGATTCTTGTGTTGACCTAAAAGTAGAACCCAGAGACATCGCAATAGAGAGAGGAAACAGATTCTGCATCCACTGGAACCCATCCGCAATAGCCGGTTCTAGACAATATCCATGGATCCTGCCTGAGATTGGACCCTAGTATTCTCTCCTCATTTCTTACTCTGAGCAGCCTTTGACAGCACATGGAAGTTTTCATAGAGCTACCCACAAAGGAGGAAGGCAGTCACAAGAGACCTCTAAATCCCAGTCACACAGGAGTTCCTGAAGGGAGAGTAATTCTAATTATAGAATAAATTCTAAAGGAAAATGTGATTTTGTTTCTATTCAATATAGGCATATTTTTCCTTAGCCACAGCTAATAAGGGCATATTTCATTTCTGAGTTAGCAAATATACAAGGAAATTGCAACTCAATCATTGGCTAGTTGTGCAACATGGAGCTGAAATTCCATTTAGGGACTAAGTTACTTCTAAAATGAGATTTATTTTTATTAAGTGTGTGTGTGTGTGTGTGTGTGTGTGTATTTGAGTACAGTTGCTGTAGAGACCAGAAATGTCAGATTTCCCCCGGAGCTGGAGTTAATGATGGTGGTGAGCTACCTGGTGAGGGCACTGGGATTTGAAATCAGGTCCTGTAGAAAACAGTATATATAAAATTGAGCCTTCTCTCCAGCCACTGCTTTGTATCTTTCATGCAAACTCAAGCATGCACTACATGGTACAATCAGAACAACAGGAATGCTAGATGTTTGTCAATTTGACTTAAGTTAGAGTTGTCTAGAAAGATAGAAGCTAAGCTGGAAAAAATGCTAAGCCATTTCTTTATGGTCTCAGCTTCA